AACCAAAAATGTTTATTCTCTTCTCCATCTGATTGATCTGTTGTTGAATTAACAGCTTTGTTCTCAGATTAACATGTGTAGGATTCTCATTCTGGCATTATTTTGGAGGGCTTTTTTTTTTTTAATAATACTAAAAAACCTTGGCACAATGGCATAGCTAGTGATTTTTCTGCCCCTCCTCAGAAGGAATACAATATTACAATGTGGGATAAGTACGTGTTTCTGTTAACATGGTATTTATAACTTTATGTCAGATCCAGATGACCCTCCATCTGTAAACAGAAGGAATGTCTGTTAGGGCTTGACGTTATTTCAATCTGATTGTTCCACTTTTAATACATTACATTTCTTTTATATTTTATATTGTGACATTTATTCCCTTGATTTCAGCTTCTGTGGTGTGAGGGCAAAACTGGTCAGCTCATTCTGTTTCTTTTTTTTTTTAATCATGAAAGGTAAAATTGGTTTTACCTTTTTTATTTCCATAATATATACATATATATCTATATCTATAAAACAGAAGATGTCAGTCTGTGTGTGTGTGTGTGTGTGTGTGTGTGTGTGTATGCATGTTGAGTTGGGCAGAAAAATTTATAAAACTGAAGGTGGGTACGACTTTTTGCAAAAACCAAGGAAATGTTACATGCGAACAAAATTTTTACTGGATGAGCTGAACCATGAAAAAAAAAACATGTTTTTCCACCATAACTACCTGGTGTTTCATCCAATGCTTTCCAAATTTGCCATGTAAATTACATATGACACAGAAATTGTCTTGCGTGAATGTTTGGTTTAGATTATTTCTATTAAGTGGATGAAATCTGTGACAAACTAGGTCCAAATTTGGCTTTTGCCATTTAGCCAGTAGTTTCTTCATATGATTCCATCCGAAATTGGCATTCGAACAACTTTTGATGCAAAGGTTGTTTGAAAAGGATTATTGACGTGTTAAAAGGGAAAAATTCCCAAAGAACCTCCTTATTAACCCCAGCTTTATAGTAAAAGTGCGAAGAAGGAGGGTGGGGAAATTCATGCATTTGCACTTGTATTTGAATGCTTCATCCCTGTTTTTGTTTGATTATTAGATTTGTGAGCAATGCCATACTATTTGAAAGTTATTACAGCTATAGGAAATTTACTGAATATCTAAAACATTGAAACAATTTAACCCTGAGCAACGACCACACAAGAAGAATTCCTTTATTAAGAACAAACACTTGCGAAGGACATACTGTAAAAAAGATCAGGTGGGGGAGTAGCTTAGTATACCGACAGATGATGTATGTAAGTGGGGACACAGACAATTTCTAGACAGGGGAGTGTGGGTATACAGGGGGATGTGGTTATACATTTGCAGCCATGGGTACCTTGTCTAGTATATTTTTATATATATATATATATATATATATATATATATATAGTGTGTGTGTATTTTGGCAGCAATTCTTCATTTATACATGTTTCATTAAAGACGACAGAGGATAGTCTAATTTGGTGGTGTATAAAGTGGTTAGGGAAGCCATTGTTAACTAAAATTTATTCACAAACTTCCCCATCAATCAAACCATTGACATTATCCTCATTTCTGTGTACACTAATAATTCTATCCATCTACCATTCATCAAACCATTTATACTCAAAAAATTACTACATGCATACACAAACAAAGTCCCATTCTATGACCATAATTACAACATTTACATCCAAAACTAATGGTGTTAGTATGGGAAATCTGCCCAGCCTGTGCTTCTCAATTATTACATGTCCCATGTAAAAAACATATTTAAACAGGTCTGTAAACCTAAAATATATGTCTGCTACGTAGACAATATTTTTATTTTAGCGAATAATGCACAAAAAAAAGATACTCTCCAGGCACATTTGAAAAAAAACTGTCCTTAATTTTACCTACGAACTTAGTCAAAAAGATAAACTCCCATTCTTAGATGTTCTTGTAGAATATAGTAACAATACCACCTCATTGTATAAAAAAACCCACTAGCAGAAACTCTTGCCACCTTAACTTTAAAAGTGAATGCTCACTCAGATACAAAATAGCAGTGATAAAAACTTCCTAAAAAGAGCACATCAGAATTCATCCTCTCAACTACTCTTCCTTAAAGAACTCAACAATGCAAAACAGACACGAGTTAACAATGGCTTCCCTAAGCAACTTATAGACCACCAAATTAGACTATTTCTTCCCAAAGTAAATAACAATGATAGTGAACACTCAGTCAAAAATAACATAACTATTTTCTACAAAAGCCAAATACACATCAGCTGAATCTTTACTTAGAAATATCAAAGAAATGCACAACCCCGATTGACCCAAACAAAAAATCAAATTATCAACTACAAAAAATTTAAAGCAGCTAACCTTATCCTAAAACAATAACAACACACCAGCAAAGTCAAAATTACAACAAACGAACATTATCTATGAGTTCAAATGCTCCGTTAAAGAACTCTGTTCCTGATCAAACTCAATTTATAAATAATTACATTGGTCACACTACTACATGCCTATCCAGATACCTTATGTTACACTTATCTGACCACAACTCTATTAGAACCCATTTAAACATACACACAAACTTACCAGTCTCCATCTGAAATATACTAGTAGAAAATACAAACATCATACCCTCATCCACATATAAAAAAGATTAAAAATAATGGAAGCCTTAATAATATTAATTATGAACACTGCCACAATGTGCTGTGTTTGGAAAATAAAACATTCCTATAACTCTAAAAATATACACACAACCCATACACCCAAAATAAAAAGCAAAAATAAAATCATCCTCAATAATGGCTAAAAGTTTACCAAAAGCACTTGGAATTACAGAACATTTGGCCAGTTTCTACACGCAAGAAAAGAAAATGCTTGATTACAAAAAAAATTAAATAAAAAGATTAATTGCAGTACAGGAAGGAAAATTAAATGGTAAGTGGCATATGGCAAATATCATTTCTCTTTCAGGTGTATCAAGAGCATTAACATGCCAGCTTCCAGTCTCATTTAGGGAATGGAACGTTTTACTGGACACATAACAATTGTCACCAACCACAGCAACTCAAAGATAGCGAAGCTTCTTGAAAGTGGCGACGTGAACAGGAGGAATGACAGATGGCTCTGTGTGGACTTCACAAAGGTACTTATGTTGATGGTCCTAGGGTATGTGAACAATGAGGACTAAGCCATGCTACTTCTTTCTACAGAGCTTCTGTTTCAATGCCACCTTCTATCTCAATGTCTTGAGATGCTAGATATGATGATCAAGCCCTGAATTGAGAGAGTGGCTATATGTGTTCCAGTATGGCTCTAATACTTCCCAAATAGCCCTGGAGTGGCTGGCCAAAAATTATCATGTGGCCTCCCCAGGTCACTTGATTTGAATCTGTTATATTATTACATCTGAAATATATTCAAGAGAGAGATCATTGGCACTATAATACCAAGGACTTGTTGAAAGCAGAATGAACTTAATCTGGATATGCAAACACTTCTCAAAAGTTAAAGATGTACAAGCCATTATTAAACGTATATATACATCTTTTCTTAATAAACTTATTTTATTTATATTGATTATTTTTTGTTGTAATTTTTTTTATTTTTCTTTATATTATGTTCTGAAGTAACTGGTGCTATATATATATATATATATATATATATATATATATATAAATGTGTACTTTCAATATTTAACATTCAAAATAAATGTTAAGAAAACAGTACAATTTCCTTAAAGATTGTAAGCAGTTTTCGACATTGAACATTGCATTAATTAAACAGCGTTTTCATGAGAACCACTACATTGTGGAATAATCTCCTGAAAGGATGTTTCCCTGATCACTACAATATTCAAGTTCAAGGTCAACCATTATCTATCCCACATATCCTCATAATCTACACTTATTTCCTCCTCTATAATTAAAGCGGTAATTATCGGATTGCATGCAATCTGATAATTACTGCTTTAAGCAGACCTCACATATGGTAATTTTTTATCTTCCTCGACTATAAAGTTATTCAATTACATTGTACCATGAGTACCTCTTTGTTGTATAAGGATAAAGTGTTGTTGCCAACACTGGAGTTTGAACACAGATCACCCATGAGCCTTAAGCAAACCTCACATATGGTAATTTTTTTTTATCTTCCTTAAAGTTATTCAATAACATTGTACCTTTAGTACCTCATTGTAGGGATAAAGTGTTACCTCATTATAGGGATAAAGTGTTGCCAACAATGGAATTTGAACACAGATCACCCATAAGCAAACACAGGTGATTCCATTTCTAATATGTAGACCACATGATCATAAAAGAAAGGTATATATGGGAATTAGTGTGGCGTCTAAGTGATTGCAATTCTCTCTACTATCCTATTTCTCTCTACTGATCACTACAGATTACTATTCGCTGATTACTATTTGAACAAGTATTATTCGAAGGAGTTATTACGAGTATCTGTGATTCCAAAGTCTTGACTACAACAAGCATTACGAATGTGATAACGACCATATGTTGACATCACAAAAGTGACAACAACAAAGGCATCTGGCATCAAGAAACTCTCATGCCCTGTATTGGGGTGGACATTTTGTAAATAAAAACAAAATAAAATAGTAAACGATTTTTTATTGCAGTTTTTTAAGATTGTAGAAAATAAAATAAAAAAAAAAAAACACTTTATTATAAATGTAAAAATGCTAGGAAAAATTATTTTTCATTGATAGCATTTATATTATAGAGTGAAAAAAAAATTTCATGTTCATTCATGAAATATGTTTAAGCAATAAAATTTTTATTGGAAATTGTAGAAGCCATACCAGAGTAAGAAATCACTTGAGTTTTTTCAGAATAATTTTTAATTTGATTTTATAGTTTTAAGCATTTTTTGCTTTTATTTAAAAAGATTGTTTATATTATAAAATATTTTAAAGTAAGGTTTAGTTACAATATGAAGCATGGTAAAATAAGTTTTTTTTTCATTGTCTTTCATCCTCAGTGACATGCAATTCTGTCTTGGCTTTCTCTAATTCTTTTGTAAGATTTTGGGTGAGTTTCTTTTTGGTTTGTTTGCTTGCTTTAGTCTCTGAAAAAGCAAAGTTAAACATAAAAAAGCAGTTGAGAAAAAAAAATTTTGGAATTTTTATTTCCATTTTTAATTTAATTAAATTTTAACAGTTTGTTTTCCACAGAAATTTTGTTGGTTTCAGTAAGGATTTTTCTTGATTTCAACTTTTGAATTACAGAAATTGCAAGAATTTTTGTAATAATATGAAAATATTTTACATTTATTTTATGTTTATAAATAGATGTAAAATGTTTTCATATATTCATAGATCTTTTGACAATCATAAATTTTTCAACTTAGACCACTTCTTTTTGGTTCATTATAAAAAAAAGTTTTAATTGAATGCTCCACATTCATTCTCATGATTATGTCAATGCCATCAATAATGTTGCTGGCTACTTTTACTTTGGAAAGTATTCAGATGTACTTTGTGTATAGTTAGTTCAATAACACCTGTCCCTTCACACTTAATCTTCCACCATCCACCACTTCTATGGTGTTCCTTCCACTCCTATAGCCTGTATCCAGTGTCTATGAAGGCTCACACCTCTTTGTCTCTTACCAGTACCTCTATTATTGGTAGTTGCTGGTAGCACACCTGCTGCTGGGTTGCAAGAGTAGCCACTGGTGCAATAGCACCATCTTGCCATTTCCATGGCTGCAGCACTGTGAAATGTTCCCCTGCTCTCCATATTTATAACAAGTCTCATTCTTGTCTCTTACCAATGTGGGATCCTCTGAATTTGAAACACTGAACTTCTCAGTTCACTCTGTATCATTGCTTCTATTTCAAACAACAGTTGAATCCTTGCCTACTGCTACAATATCCAATTCATATGACTTGTTGTCAGTCGGGACTCTGTGAACTATCAATTCATTCACAGTCATGATATCAGTTCCAGGCAACTGTTGAAGAGCAATGAATATGTCTGTTGGGGACCCAGTGACAAATGCCATTTTTTTCAATGTTTGAGTCCTTTCCCTGCATAACCTGTCAAACCTGCTAGCAAACTGATTTCATTGGTATATACATCTATGAACACACCAGTCTGCCTAACACTTGCCAGCTTCGTTAAGGCTGCAAATGCACCCTTGGTAAATGCCTGCTTAAGCTCAATTGCAATCATTTGAGAATCTAGCTGTTATTCATTGCTTATCTTGAGGTACATTGCTAATGCATCCTAATTACATTGCTAATGTTTTTTTAATTTTGTGATTGGTCTTATCTTTTTAAATCATATGACCATGTCACCTTCAGTGATAAATGGCATGATCATATTACTGTTCAGTAACATTTTTTTCTATCTTGTTCATATGTTAATATGATGAAATACCTTGTAGTTTGGGGGTAGAAAATTAAAGCTTAGACTCATTTGAGTTTCTCTCAAACATGGTCTCAATGGGAATGTAACAAGTTTTTATTCTATCTTCTATTCATTCTATCTATTGTCTGCTACACCTTCTGCACTCTGACTTCCTTCCCCACCTTCCTCTTTTTCATTGACAACATGTCTGCATGAATCTGATGAGCATAAAGGATCGCCCTCCCTGTCTTGATTTTTTAGTTATAACCATCACTCTTCCTCATTGTTGGACATTTGTGGTTGCTACCACCTGTTTTTAATCCCTCACACTACACCCCAGTTTCTCAGTTCATTCACCTTCTCTCTCAGTTCCCAGTGGGTAATTTTTTTTTAAATTATAGTTGTGAAATTCTTTACTTTCTATTCTCCTATTCTTCTTCACATTCTTTACTTACCAACTGAAATAAATATTGCAGTTGTTTTTTTTCCTGTAGAATTTTGTCTGTTTTTTTGTGAATTGTGAAGAACAAAACAATAGAAAAAAATTAAAAATAATTGATAAACTCAGTTCAAAGTCTCAAACAAAATATTATTTACTGCATTAGCAGTAAATCAGCTGAAACTGAATAATTTTTATTTATTCAAATGAGAATAAACTTTTTAAAATAAAAACAAGTTCAACTGCAAAAGTATCAGTTACAATAATAGACTATACAAAACTTGGTATTTTTGATTATTGTGATGCAAATATATCTATGAAATATATGTTGATATTTTTCATATTTAAAGTATCAATATTTATATCATTTTTGTTAGATTGAACAGCTTTTGAAATCAATGATTACATGCTCTGTTCATACTACTTTTAAGGAGGAAAATGCTGCAATGAAATATAACACAGAAAAGTAGCATTCTCAAATATTAAACTTTTATCATTAATATAACATATCTAACATAATATTATAACATATCTAGAAATATAATATTCTTTAAAATTAAAAGTAAAAAATGATTAAATTTTATAAAAATATATATAAAATGTTAAATGTTTTTTGGTTTTGAATGATACATTATTTCATAATTGCAATAAAATAAGTATAGATTTTTGGAACATCCTATACATATAGCATATTTCATTTTATACAGATAGATGGATATTGACACAAGAAAAATGGTTGTGTAAGTGAATGGAGTAAGAAGATTATAGGAATTTTCAAAAAGAGTCCGCTTGTCATGGAAATCATTTTACTCACACTTGAATACTAACCACTGATGCTAGCTTTCACATCACAACAAGCCCTCATGTTTGTCTCAAGCATAAAAAGAAGTGCAATTAACTGAAATTTGGTTGTTTAGTCACATTATCCTGAGAACATTAAAGTAAATATTCTATAAAGTGTAGATATATTTAATAGTTGTTTATACTTTCCTTTAACAATATTTATATTCATATTTTTAAATATTTCATTGTAACCAGGTTTGTGAAAATATTCCATTTCGCTTAGTAAAAAATGATAACCCATTGCCTTACCCATGACAACTTGACTTATGAGGTCTTTGACTTCGTCTTTGTCCAGATCACTAATAGCTGCCAGTTCAACTAAAAAGTTCTGTCTTTGTTGCTACAATAGGACAAAACAGTCATTACACAATGAGTATAAAGAAAAACTTGTCTATTAATATTATTTTGAAAAGATAAAAGAAACTTCTAAAACAATACTTGAAAGTTATCAATATTTGGCTGTGTAGAGAAAGTGGCCATGGTTAAATGTAATTGACAGAAATGTGTAACAAACAGAATTGACAAAGCTTGCAATAAACAATAACAAAAGAAAGAAAAAAAAAGAACAAGACAAAAATAATACCAAGCAAAAATATATGCAAGACAAATGTAGGCAAAGCAACAGTAATGAGGAAAAAAGTTTGCAAATTAAGAATGGTGTTAACATACCAGGGATATGGATAAGTGATCACAGCATTCTGGCTTCATAACAAGATAGAACAGAAATATGGCAGATTAGACTGAAAAGTGACCCATCTTATTGGCTAGGAAGAAATCCCAGCATACATCTGTATGTTTTGTTTATAAATTTGGAGAGGTTGGGATTTTTTTTGCAGTCAATCCTATAATGATTAGAAACAACAGACTGATTTTGTGACTTCAACATGATTGTTTTAGTCTGAATTTACGTTATATACAATTGTCTTTGCTTTGGAATATTTCATAATAGTTGATTCTTCTTAGTATGTATAGATCAGTGTCACCAGGATAATATATCATCTTAAAAAAATTAAGACAAATTGTTCATATCTGCATGACTAAAATGAACATGTGATAAGATCTCTTGATATTTTAATGTTTATTCATATCAATCTCAAAACATTGACATTTATAATTTATTTATAAGAGTAAATACTATAAAAATTAATGCTAAAAACAGATGAACCTATGCTCCTTACCAAGATCTAAAAGTAAAGATCTTAATGACGAATTGGATGTTCAGATGGTCTTTTCTAAATATACCTTGATTTTGAGCCTATTTATATAGAAATCAGAAATCAATCAAGTTCAATGTTAAAAATCTGATGTGTCCCGGAAAGGGATATATTTGAACGAAGTAGCTAAGTGGTTTTGTCTACTATAACCAAGTAGAATACGGTAGCAGTAATCGACTGGTACGCGTCGTAGTCGCAGGTAAGAAGTGTAGATCAATGGCGTAGTCCAATGGGCATCGTTATAGACTTAGCACTCAGACTAAGGCTCTGACTCTGTCGTACCTACACGTCCGTCGGTATTTATGACGGACTCTAGTGAGGGGGAACACAGGTGTATGCATATTCCATTATATCACCTCCCCCTGAGCTAAATTCCCCCGTGAATTTTAGCTTTAATACTTCCTCTTCTTAAGGACATAAACGATTAACTTTTTTTTCTAAGCCTTTTTCGCCTCAATCCTCCTTGCAGTGGTGGCGTTTGACACACTGGTACCTCTGGACTTGAGGTCGGGGATACCTCCACCGGCGAATGTTGACTCACTGGAACGGGAATATCAAAGGCGTCATATAAGACTTCCATTGGAATCTCTTTGGTATTTTCCGCTACCTCTGTACTATGTCTGGATCTTAACTGATTCCAATGTCTTTTACAAGCGTTTTTTCCTCCTTCTATGTCGTATACGACTTGACCAATTCTTTTGGTTATTACACCTTCTTCCCAATACGCTTTTCCAGCCCAAAGTTTTTTGAAGAAAACTTTATCTCTTGGCTTATATACTTTAGTCATGTAGTTTTGTTTCTTCGCAGTTTTCTTCGCCGGACTAGGCAACAGCCTGTTGAAAACAGAGCGTATTCTTGCAAACATTAACTCTGCTGGCGATAATCCTGACGTCGTATTCGGGTTTGGCGTGATTCTGTACACTGCTAAAAATTTCTGAATACTCTGTTCATTCGTGTCCACGCCTTGACTTTTCTTCAAGGCTCTTTTAAATATGTCCACAAATTTTTCTGCCTGTCCATTCGACCTTGGATGATAAACTGGTGTTGTCACGTGATCGATGGACAATGCTGTACAGAATTTCTTGAATTCACTTCCTGTAAACTGCGTTCCGTTGTCGCTGACTAAAGTTTTAGGGAGTCCGAAACGACTAAAAATTTCACTAAGGGCATTTCTCGTATCGTCGCAGTTGGATGTCTGTCCTTAACAATTTCCGGCCACTTAGTGAAACTGTCTACCACAATCAGGTAATACGATCCATTTATGGGTCCTGCATAATCGATATGCAGTCGAGTCCATGGGACATCTGTCTTTGACCATGGTTGAATCTTTACAGGTGGATCCATTGCTGCCAGTTGACATCCTTTACACTGTTTCACCACATTTTCTATGTCCTGGTCCATCCTCGGCCAATACGTGTATCCTCTCATTAGAGATTTCATTCGCGAAATCCCTGGATGACCAGTGTGAAATTCTTTTAGATTTTTTTTCTGTAAAGTACACGGCATTACAACTCTGTCTGCGTAAAGTAATACCTGATCACATATTGAAAAAGGTGACACACTCATTCCTTTTTTTGTTTTCTCGTTCAACCAGACTTGCATTTTCATTTTCTTAATGAAATCATTGTTTGCCGCTGCTTTTTTCACACATCTAGAGTAACTGGTAGTTCTCTAATGATATTGCATAACAGACCCGACAATTCACTTTCGTCTCTCAGCGCCGCTATTACTGTTTCTTTCAGCGGTTCCGTATATTTCGGTATTAACCTCGACAACCCATCGGCATGACCTAGCTTTTTTGAAGGCACATATTCCATTCTGAAATTGTAATTCAATAGAATTATACTCCAACGCTGTAGTTGATTTGCCGTGTGAGTTGGTATACCTTTTTTGGAACCAAAAATTGTTAACAGCGGCTTGTGGTCTGTTCGCAGAGTAAATTGTCTTCCATATATGAATCTGTGAAATTTCTTTACAGCGAAGATTATTGCCAAACTCTCTTTTTCAATTTGACTATAATTTCGTTCCGCGGGCAGTAACGTTCTCGAGGCATGTGCTACTGGCTTCGTAGATCCGCCCTCGAGTTTATGTAGCAATACAGCGCCTAGTCCGTCATTACTAGCATCTGCTGCTACAATCATTTTTTTCTTGGGATTGAAATGCGCCAACGATAGGTCTGCTAATAAACATTTTTTTTTAATATTTTTAAAAGCATCTTCGCATTCTTTCGACCATATCCACTCTGCGCCCTTTTTTACCAAATTATTTAAAGGAGCTCTCATATCATACATTTTTGGGATATAAATACTATAGTAGCTTACCAATCCCAAAAATGCCTGGAGTTTAGCCACATTATCAGGTGCTGGCATATTTTTTATAGCTTCAGTTCTTTCTGGGTCCGGTTTTCTTCTTTTACTGTCAATTATCTGCCCTAAATATTTTATCTTCTTTAGGAAGAACTTTTTCAGCACTCAGCTTGAACCCGTATTCCTCAATTCTCTGAAATACTGCTCTAATATGCGTCTTGTGTTGGGCCTCGTTTTCACTTTTAATCAAAATATCATCTAAATATGCGATTGCATACTCCATACCAGCCAACATTGTGTCCATTATTTGCTGGAATAGGCTTGGAGCTACCTTCAATCCAAAAGGGAGACGATTTAATTTAAAAATCGCTTTATGAGTATTTATTGTCAGGTACTTTGAACATTCTTCACTGACTTTAACCTGAAGGTAAGCCTCCGACAAGTCCAACTTTGAAAACACTCTACCTCCGTTCAATTTAGTAAATATATCCTCCGGAGACGGTAGAGGGTATGCATGGTCGTTCAAGCCTGTCGAGAAATCAGCACACACTCTGATTTTTCGGTTTTTCTTTTTTATATAAACGGTTGGAGACGCCCAATCCGAGTAATCCACTTTTGAAATTACGCCAATTTTTTTCCAAACTTTCTAACTCCTCATTTATTGAGTTTAGTGCCGAAAATGGAATTTTTCTTTTCGGTTTAAAATTAGTTTCACATTTTCTTTCAACTCAAATTTGACTTCTGTTTTTGTGCACAGACCTAGTCCCTCTGCAAAAACACGAGGGAACTCATTTTTCAACTCTGTAATAAATTTTTCTGTTTGCTTTGTCTTATAATTTTCTCTGACGTTCACTTGCTTACAGAAAGAATTTACTGGTAATTCCCACAAATTGAATAATATTATCCAGTCTGTACCAAAGAGGTTTACTGAACCAGGGAGCACATATACTTTCGATTTGTGAATTTTTCCCATGAACGAAATGTTACATTTTAATTCACCTCGAAATTTGACTCTTTTTCCAGACACTCCTCTGGCAATTTTATCTGTCTTCGTCAACGGTGGGTAACCGATTTTTTCCCATGTTAGCTCGTTTATCACAGAGATATCACTTCCTGAATCGAGTAATAATTTTACAGTCTGCCAATTTATTTTTACATTGAGATATTTTCTTCCTTGACCCTCCTCAATTTCGTGTTTAGACAAAACTACGTTCGCTTTTGCCTGAGACTTTGCTTTTTGATTTTTGTTTTGTCCGACAATGGGAAGTTTTATGGCCTACACGCCCACAATTATAACGTTTTTTTTATTCTTAAAGTAGCAATCCTTCTTGCAATGCTCTCCTCCACAGGCACTGCATATTATTTTTCTTTCTTTTTGCATCCACTTCCTTTTGTCGTACATTTTGTACTCGCGAAATGTTCTTCTCCTCAATCCGAGTAGTGTCTTTTTTTACGTTTATCATTCGCTGACATTCTTCAGTTACTTTTTGTAACGTAATCTCTGGATCTCTTTCCATGATCGAGAGGATTCTTGCTCTAATTTCTTTGTCACTTGGTGTCGTTAGACTTTGCACAAAAATTAGACACTTGAACATGTCGCTTGACAACTCTTTCAACTTAAATGCCTCACACTGTGCGTTAACCATACCTGCGTATGTAACAAAATCATCATCATCATCATCATCATCATCTTGTTTAACGATATTCAGACACTTGTATCGAGTATGAAACATGCTATCTCTTTTATCGAAAAATTTCGATAAAATTTCTACTGTTTCGCTGAATGTAATTTCATCTGGCTTCTTTGGGAGGATTAAATT